AAAGATCCATTGTTTTAGTTTCTTATTAGGATAAAAAATAATGGATTTCTTGTTCCAATCCCTCTAATATAACATTAAAGAAAAATATGGCAGCGAGTAGAAACTGGGACGTTTACCTTATTTACTTATTTTCGTTTACTTAATTAACACCACAGAAATCGTTCGATTCGAGACAAACATCTGCATTTCTATTATCGATAAATGAGATAGTTAATGAAAAAGTTTTAATAGAAGTTGGATAACATCGCAGCTGTGGTTTTAATGAAGATATCTCGCGCAATTATTCTTGTAATTATAATCGCGCGAGCGTGCAACGAGTATTGGGAACAGGGTTGATTCCCATGTGCCCGTTTATTCCATAAATTTCGTAGAAAGTTGCATTGTCTCTCTTTGTACCTGATTTCTGGTATAAAAAAAATTGGTACGCTTTTCTTTTAAGTCAGTTAATTGATCACTGAATTAGCTTAAGACTGCACGAGCTCTGAGACCTCTGGCAAAAGTTTAAGAACTGTACATTATAAAAATCAGTAAATAATTCCTTATAGATTTTATAAGAAGAATTGAAAACGTAATGGCTTTTCTAAGGAGCTTAGCTTCTAAGAGATTTCTCACAATGTTTTTTTAATGTAATATCTAATAACCGTTGGAATGTTTTGGCTTGTACAGTCTTAGCCAAGTAATTGATCACTGAATTAGCTTAATCGCTGTTGTCGGTTTACGCACGATAAGAGAACTTTCCTCGCTTTCCGAATGTCTCTCTACTTTTACCTAACGTTTAAATCTGACAAATAGCGTCTATTAAGAACATGTGCAATCCTGTCTTTGATTATGCCGAGAGAGTTTACGCTCGGACGTATAATATCACTTCCTTCCTTGGGTCCGGTTGTACATTCGTTACAAGATGTAATTACGGTCTTTTTTTTTAATTTCCCTTTGGTGCCTGATAGATCTTATCTGCGAATCGGCGGGGAACAGGTTTGCCGGGAATCGTTGCGGTATAATTTTTATCATCCGGCTGAAAATCGTTCGATTCCGCGAAGCGAATTATTTTCGCCCGGCCCAGGAGGACCTTAACAGCATCCATTGAACTTTTCACCTATCACGCCATCGATGCACTCGAGCCATCCAGTCACGAGTGTTCCTATTCCTAAGCAGCTTTCAAATTCTTTCTGATTTTTTATAGATTAGAAATTGGCGAAGACGTTCAGTCGATTAAATTCGATCATCCTCAGATTTTGTGTCTTCAAGCAATTATTTATTTTTCCAGGAAATTATTTATTTATAAGGAAAATATTTATTTATGTAAAGAATTATCTTTCGCCTTATGAAGATGCGAAATTTTATTAGTATATTATAGTGAATAATGGTAGTTGTTGCTTGGGTTCTGTGTAGCTGATGGCAGCGGCTGCGGCGTGAACAGCTTCAAATGTTTGGACGGCACCTGCATACCGAGCACCTTGGTCTGCAATTATCAGAAGGATTGCGATAACGCGGAAGATGAATTTCAAGCGTGCAGTAAGTAGTTCTTCATTCATTTGTTGGGAGGATTGCCGGAAAAAATTAGCCTGACTTCCGGTTCCGGTGCATAAGAACGCACGAAACTGCGTGAACAAAAACGTTTCCGGATTCGAATCCTCTTCGATGCATTTCCGTCACGCGTGAGACTTCATAGGAAAAAAAAATGCAGACATGGGATTAAAAACTATTATCTTCAACACACAAGTATTAGAGTATCAGTTGTTTAACACCAGGACTACTTTTATTTATCTCTATTAAAAATCAGTCATTTTGAGTCATTTACTGTGCAATTTTTCTATAAGTGCACTAAATCTGCAGTCTAATCATTATGCAATCCATTTTGATTTCATACGTCGTTTGTTTAATTGATTTAATTATCTTAATAACGCTTATAATGTCATTTACTAATTCATGATGTAAATAGATTTAACTAGTAAGCAAGAATTTCTAAAATTCCTTCCTCTGAATTAAGAATACATGCATATATTAATTTCGACTCGAGGTTCCTCAAATGAACAGTACATATTTGGATAATAACAGAGTTAGATAATTTTATCTGCGTTATGCAAGAGTAATTAAAACAAGACGTTAAGTTAAAATGGTAGGAATAGAAAATTTATTGATTTCTAAAGCTGTGTACTCTCATTTTCTGACTTCTTATTAATTAAGAAAATATGAAGAAGTTAATTGAGTAAATTTAATTTTGTCCAGCGCCGCCGGATTGCGAACCTGGCCAGATTACCTGCGGCCAGTACATCTTCAATAAAACGTACTGTATACCTCCCCATCAACGATGTGACATGACTGTCGACTGCGTCGACGGGACCGACGAAGCCGGCTGCAGTGAGTATTTGCCAATTCACTCTGGAGCGTTAACACTTGTTGCCCGAGATCTTAATGTCACGCGATAACAATGCAAATGTTGCATCGCAGATCGGAATGATAAGGTGACTTTTCGTTAATGACACAACGTCCTTTAATGATAGCATCTTTTATGTAACGCGAACAAAACGTGTGATAATAAAAACAGACGTGCTTCTGGTAGGGACGAGGGAAAGGGAAATGGAAGAAAATTTGTTCGGTTGCATAATTCCTGTTACTTAACCGCGTACGAAAAGATTACAGGAAATGCCAGCCGGACGACTTCCGGTGCGGCAACACGACGCCGGAGCTGTGCATCCCGAAGGAGAAGAAGTGCGACGGTTACCTGGATTGCCGCAACGGTCGGGACGAGGAGAAATGCGAAAACAACTCCAAGCCGGCCTGCAGGTTGGATCAATTCAGGTGCAACTCCACGCAGCGTTGCATCGAGCAGTCGGCCAGGTGCAATTATAAGGACGACTGCGGGGATAAGAGCGACGAGGAGAATTGCAGTGGGTCTCGGTTATGTGAAAATCGAATTAAATTCGTAGATCGCTCAGAGTATTAAGTCGTCTATCCTTAGATTTCCAGCCGTGCACGATCAATCAGTTCCCTTGCGAGAATTCCCTCTGCATACCGAAGTCGTTCGTCTGCGACGGCTACAAGGACTGCCAGGACGGATCCGACGAGAAGTCCTGCACCACCACTTCCTGCCCGCGGAACAAGTTCGTCTGCCCTAAAGGAACGCCCGACGGGAAGCCGCTCTGCATAGACCGAGCCCAAGTATGCGACGGCAAGGCCGACTGCGAAGACGAGGCCGACGAACAGGCTTCTTGTTGTAAGTATTTCAAGCCACGGTATTTCGAATGTTTAATAAATCTTTGTAAACTCTTCTGTTTTAACTGACTATAAAATGGATCCGCAGACCAGGTATTTTCTTACAATTCGAAGATGAAAAATCTAGTTTTTAACTTGGTGAATTCTGTTCACAGCGTCGGACGTGTGCGCATCGTTATCGTGTCGTTACAAATGCCGGGCGTCGCCTTCGGGAGGCATCTGTTATTGCCCTGCGGGCTGGGTCCTCGCGAATGATTCAACGACCTGCGTAGGTACGTCGAACCGCCTCGCGCGCATGTAACCGAGTTACAATCTTATTTTCTATGTTCAGATCGCGACGAGTGTTCGGAATGGGGCTTCTGCGAGCAGTTATGCGAGAACACGGAGGGTTCGTACACCTGCCGGTGCGCCTCGGGCTTCGCGTTGCAGGGTCGGAACAAGTGCCGGGCGCAGCAGCACCCCGGCGTGAAATTGGAGCTCCTAATCGCCCAAGAGAAGGCAGTTTGGAGGATGTCACCAAACGGGGAGGAGAAGACCATCGTCGCCAATACCACTGGGGCCAGCGGAGTGGACTACTTCTATTCCAGAGATCTCCTCCTCTGGAGCGACATCAAAACGAAGAAAGTGCATTCGGAGCCTCTGAACAGCGAAGACTCTAGTTCGAGAGTTGCTATTTACTTGACCAGCTCGTGGAGCCCGGTGGCCATCGCGGTTGACTGGATCGGTGAGAAGTTGTATGTGGTCGACTCGATGGTTCAGAAGATCGACGTGCTGGAATTAGACGGGAGATACCATGGGATCGCTCTGAGTTCGAACCTGACGAACCCAACTGACATCAGTTTGGATCCTACGGTTGGTTTAATGTTCATCGCCGATAGCAAACAAGTGATAAGGGCTAACATGGACGGGACTGTGGCCTTCCCAGTGATCTTCGAGGATGCTTACAAAGTCTCCGGAATCGCTGTCGACGTGATCGCTCGGAGGATCTTCTGGTGCGACTCTCAATTAGATTACATCGAGACTGCCGATTATTTAGGAAAGAACAGGGTTATGGTGCTGAGGGGACCGCACACGCCGTCGCCGACGAGATTGACACTTTTCGAGAACAGAATCTATTGGACAGACGGCACGAAGCAGGCGATAATGAGCGTGGACAAGACAGAGGGCGATTCTTCTATACAGACGGTCTATAAAATGAAAGATGCCAAGGGCATCAAGGCGCTACATTCTCTGACTCAACCGACGGTATCCAATCCTTGCGGGAATAATAACGGCGGCTGCCAGCACATGTGCATAGTTACTGCGGCCAGTGATCAAGATAATAGATTGGGCTATCGATGCGCCTGCGATATGGGCTGGCGCCTGTCCAGCGACCAGAGGAATTGCAATTTAGTTCAGGAATTCTTAATGTACTCCCAACAGAGGTTCATCAAGGGCCGGGTGCTCGATCCTGTTATGGAGGGATTCAGCGACGCAATGTCACCTGTCGTTTCAAGGAGAGCGAGGTTCGTCGGTTTAGATTACGACGCACATGATCAGTACATTTATTACAGCGACGTTCTCCAAGACGTGATTTATCGAGTTCGTCAGAGCGGCACCGGCCGGGAAGTAGTCTTGGCTAGTCAGAACGAAGGTGTGGAGGGTCTGGCGGTCGACTGGGCTGCCAAGAACTTGTATTACATCGACTCTAGGAAAGGGACGTTGAACGTTCTCAGCACGAGGAATGTTACGTATCGCAGGACGCTTTTGAAGAACTTGAAACGACCGAGGGCAATCGTTATTCATCCTAACAAAGGGTTTATCTTCTTCTCCGAGTGGGACAGGCCTGCGAACATCAGCAGAGCTTATACAGACGGCACGAACTTGATGGTCTTCAGGAATTTGACTTTAGGCTGGCCAAACGGTTTGGCTATCGATTTTGCGAAAGATAGGCTATACTGGTGCGACGCTCTCCTCGATCACGTCCAGCATTCTAATTTAAATGGTACAGACGTAAGAACGGTGAATTCTAGATTGATCCGGCATCCGTTCTCTATAGCTATTCACGAACAGTGGATGTACATCACCGATTGGAGGCTGGATGCTATCATTCGACTTCACAAAGAAACCGGAGAACAAGAATCGATTCTTATACGGCAACCAGAAACGAATAGGTTGTACGGTGTGAAAGTTTACAGTCGCTATATACAGGCTTCGTTGCCGGATCACCCGTGCGCTGTTAACACCGAAGGGTGTGAAAAATTGTGCTTCGCCGTGCCACATAATAGCGGCAGTGAGTACGACACGGGGAGATTAACTAAAGTGTGCGGTTGTCCTTATGGAGAAAGCCTTTTACCTGAAGATTCAAAGAGCTGTGTGCCAGATCCGGTGGCCGAGCCGCCTTTGGAGGCTTGTCCTAACGCTTGGGACTTCACCTGCGCGAATCAGAGATGCATTTCACATACCTGGGTCTGCGACGGGGAGAACGACTGCTTGGATAACAGCGACGAACGAAATTGCACGAAACCTACCTGCCCTTCGAACGCGTTCCAATGTAAATCAGGCAGATGCATTCCCATGGGATTCCTCTGCGATTCAGAGAACGATTGCGGTGACTATAGCGACGAGGTCGGCTGCCCGAACGTGACTTGCAGCGCCAATCAGTTCACCTGCGCTAATAATCGATGCATACCTAATACTTGGAAATGCGATTCTGAGAACGACTGCGGGGACAGTTCGGACGAAGGCGAATTCTGCGTGAAGATTTCTAAGACCTGTTCCTACTTCCAGTTCACTTGTCCAAGGTCGGGTCACTGTATACCGAGGTCCTGGGTCTGCGACGGGGACAACGACTGCTTTGACCAGCAAGACGAGATGGATTGCCCACCGGTCACTTGTTTAGGGCCGCAGTTCACCTGCGCGGATCAGAAGATGTGCGTCCTTGATTCGTACAAATGCGACGGTATATCAGATTGCAACGACGGCAGTGACGAGGTCGGCTGCCCTTCCCTAGCGCCGGATCAGTGCAACACCGATAAACAGTTCCAGTGTCTCAGCTCCGCGATTTGCATCCCACGTAGCTGGTACTGCGACGGTACCGCGGACTGCCCGGACAGATCCGACGAGCCAGCATCTTGCGGACAAGTCGGATGTCAGCCAGGATTCTTTAAATGCCGGAACGAGAGGTGCGTGTTCAAGGCGTACATCTGCGACGGGAAGGACGACTGCGGCGACGGCTCCGACGAGGACACAGAGTTACACGCTTGCACCGCGCCGCCGTTTAAATGCGACTCGCAGCAATGGAAGTGTCCCGACGTTACGGACGTTTGCGTGAACATCACCAGCGTCTGTGACGGCAAACCAGACTGTCCTAACGGCACCGACGAGGGTCCGGTCTGCGATTTCGAAGAGTGCAAGTACAGAGGAGGTTTCTGCAGCAACGGGTGCATCCAGACGCCTCTGGGCAAACAGTGCACGTGTCCTCCTGGCGAGGAGCTCAGCAAGGACGGATATACTTGCCAAGATATGGACGAATGCGATCCTCCCGGTCGTTGCTCTCAAGTTTGCGTTAATATCAAAGGCGGATACTTCTGCTACTGCGGCGAGGGTTACACTTTGGAGAAGGACAAGCATACCTGCAAAGCTTTCAACCACAGTGCGGCGTTCTTAATCATATCTAATAGGCACACGATTCTAGTAGCCGATCTGCAGGATCAGGCGTTAGAACGAGTGCCTATCAACGTCGTGAGCGTCGTCGCGACCGCTAGCAACATGCACACAGGTACGATCTTCTGGTCAGATATGAAGCTAAAGAAGATTTCTAGGCTAGACAGAGGTAGCGACCCGGAAGACGTGATTTCCACCGGACTAGACTTGGTCGAAGGACTTGCCTACGACTGGATCGGCAAGAACTTGTATTGGCTGGACTCAAAATTGAATACTATCGAAGTAGCTAAAGAGACTGGTGCTAGTAGAATGATATTAGTAAAAGAGAACATCACACAGCCTAGAGGCATGTGCTTAGACCCGAGTCCTCGAGCCAGGTGGCTGTTCTGGACAGACTGGGGTGAGAATCCGCGAATTGAAAGGATTGGCATGGACGGTACTAATAGATCAACGATAATAAACACTAAAATCTATTGGCCGAACGGTCTGGCGTTGGATATAGCGAATAAGCGAATATACTTCGCCGACAGTAAATTAGATTTCATCGACACTTGCCTCTACGATGGCACCAAGAGGATCCAAGTATTAGCTGGCTCACATTATCTCCTACATCCGCATTCTCTGACTCTGTTCGAAGATACAATGTATTGGACGGACAGGCAACTGAACCGAGTTTTATCCGCACACAAATTTTATGGTGTCAATCAGACAGTAGTTTCGCATTTAATATCCCAGCCATTGTCTATACACGTTCATCATCCCGTTCTCCAGCCGGTCAGTCCGAACCCTTGCGCAACTGCTACATGCGCTCACCTTTGCCTATTATCTCCCACGGACCCCCAGGGCTACACTTGCAGATGCCAAGTTGGATTTAAATTACAACCGAACGGCCAGTGCACGCTAGAAGAAACTCCTTATTTAATGGTTCTACGTGGCTCTCAGATCGTCGACGTATCCTTGTTACCGGGTAGCACGAAGACCGGATACATAAGTCCTGTCGTCGGGGTCGAGGGTGGTAAATTCATCGACTACGACCGAAAGGAGAGAATGATTTACTGGTTACAGACTAAGGATGACGATGAAGAGAACGGAACGATTTTCATGACTCCCTACAGTGGTGGCAACAGGACAGAGTTCCCAAATCCATCTGGCGACAGTGGAATCGTTGGAGCTCCGTCTGCCATGGCGTTCGACTGGCTAGGCAGGAATTTATTCATTGGAAATAAATACGCTTCTAATATAGAGGCGATTAAAGTAGATGGTAAAACGAGGTACAGGACGATAGTTCTGGCCAACGATGGGAATAAGACGTCTGTAGCTAAACCGAAGGCCATGTGCGTTGATCCACTAGAGGGTCACGTGTTCTGGGTAGACGACGGGAGTTTCGGTATTCCTATGAAAATCGGTAGAGTAAATATGGACGGAAGTAATCCTATAGTACTGATTGAGAACGTTGACAAACCAGAGGCTATTACAATCGACATCCCCAGTAAGACTATCTACTTCAGCTCTTCCTATCCGGCTCTGATCCGAGCTGTTTCAACGGACGGGCAAAATATGAGGACCATCGTTTCAGAGAACATAGCTTTACCAAAAGCACTGGCTGTCCACGAGTCTAAATTATACCTCCTCGATCCTCGATATGATAAAATCGAAAGAGTCGATCTCCCCGACGGTGGCAACCCCACTACGATAATTGACAACGATTCTGAATTAAAGACACTGAGTATTTACAAGAAACGTGTCACCGGGGCTCATCCGTGCTTCGTGAACAACGGTGACTGCAAACAGATCTGCCTCCCAGCTTCCGGAGGGACCAGGGTCTGCGCTTGCGGCATGGAGTATCGCAAAGTCAGCGACACTACCTGCGAGCCGTTCAAGACTTTTGCGGTGGTCACTCAGTTGGACGTAGCCAGGGGGTACAGTCTTAAAGATGCGAAGGAAGCTATGGTGCCGATCGCAGGCGTAGGACATCATATCCTTCACGTGGACGTCTACAGCGCAGGGAACTGGATCTACTGGGTGGAGTTCAATCGAGAGATATGGAACGGAATTTTCAGGATCAGACCGAACGGTACAGAGTTGCAGCATATTGTGAAACAGGGGATCGGCTCGAACGGTATCAGAGGCCTTGCTGTAGATTGGGTCGCCGGCAATCTATATTTCACAAACGTGTTCCCCCACGACAATTACGTAGAAGTGTGTAAACTGGATGGAAGTAATAGGAAAGTACTGGTGAAGAAGACCATGGATGCTCCTCGGGAACTAGCCGTGAATCCTATCAAGCGATACCTCTATTGGATAGACTATGGCCAGTATCCTAGATTAGGTAAGGCTTATTTGGATGGAAGCAACTGGACACCGATAGTCACTTCCGGCATCAGCACCCCACGCGACATAACGATCGACCCTGCCACACACGATGTCTACTGGGTAGACTCTAAACAAGATACGATTCAGAAGTTCGCTTACACCGGTGGAAGGCGCGAGATTATCAGGCGTAATTTACCGAACCCTATGGGCGTCGCTATTTATGGTAACGACGTTTATTGGGTCGACAGGAACCTCGCCACCGTCTTCAAAGCTAGCAAGCAGAGTAACATCAGTTTACCAACAGTGGTCAGATCAAATTTACCGAAGCTGAGGGACATAGTAATCTTCGATGAAAACAGTCAACCGCCTGATCCAACGAATCCCTGTTCGCCAGAAGGACACGCAGGCTGCGAACAGCTCTGCTTCGCCATGCCTAAGGAAATGTCGGTTCCCTACAAATGCGACTGCTCGGTTGGGAAGCTAGCAAGCGATGGCAAGAGTTGCGAGAATGTCGACGAATATTTAGTATTCGCTACGCGGACAGAGATTAGGTCGATTGGGTTGGACCCGCAGAACACAAGCGTACCGTTTAATCCTGTAGGAAACTTGACAAACGTTGTCGGCGTCGACTTCGATTATCAAGATAAGAAATTATTATTCACTCAAATCAGGCCCTGGGCAAAGATAGCATGGATGCAGGCGGATCATCCATCTTCCTTAGACATCCATCCGCTGATCAACAAAGGAATCAATCCTGAAGGAATATCTTATGATTGGACACAGAAGAAAGTCTATTGGACCGATTCTTCTAATAATAGTATTTACGCGATGGATTTAGATGGGACTAATTTAGTAATGATTGCCAGAGTGGACAGGCCTAGAGCTATCGTAGTCGATCCATGTAACGGATCGCTTTACTTCACTGACTGGGGTCGCTTCGGAACGTCTGGAAAAATCTTTAGGACTACCATGGCTGGTTCTTTAAAGAAAGCTATTATAGACAAAGATCTTTCTCAACCGAGTGGATTAGCTATCGATTATGAAGACCGTATGCTGTACTGGACCGACGCAGTCAGGGAGAAGATAGAACGTTCACAATTGGATGGAAGGAATCGACAAGTCCTGGTCAGTGCGACCATATATCCTTTCGCTATAACTGTTTTCAGGGAGCACATTTATTGGACTGATTTACAATTAAGAGGAGTTTATAGAGCTGAGAAACACACAGGTGCGAACAAAGTGGAGTTAGTTAAACGTTTGGAAGATTCGCCGAGGGATTTGCATATTTATTCAGCGGCGAGGCAACAGTGCAAAGTGAATCCTTGCAATATAACAAACGGCGGCTGCGATCAATCCTGCCATCCGGGTATAAACGGCGCGGCTGAGTGTAAATGCGACGACAACAGTAGATTAGTGAACGAGGATAGAATGTGCGTACCCAAGAATGTGACCTGCGACTCCAGCAAGTTCGCTTGTCGAAACGGGCGTTGCATCTCGCGGATGTGGGCGTGCGACGGCGACGACGACTGCGGCGACGGTTCCGACGAGGACACCAATTACTGTTCCTATCATTCTTGCAGCCCGAACGAGTTCAGATGTAACAACGGTAGATGCATCTTTAAAACCTGGAAATGCGACCACGAGAACGACTGCCGGGACGGCAGCGACGAAGAGGGCTGCGTGTATCCTCCTTGCGCCGCCGAGGAGTTCACTTGTGCCAACTATCGCTGTATCCCTCTATCGCAGGTCTGCAATGGTGTTAATGACTGTAAGGATAACGTCACGTCGGACGAGACCCATGAGCGTTGCCCTAGGAACACTACTTGTCCGCCTCATCATCTGAAATGCGAGAAGACTAACATCTGCGTAGAACCGTATTGGCTCTGCGACGGGGACAACGATTGCGGAGATAACAGCGACGAGAATCCGTTGCACTGCGCTCAGAGGACGTGTCCTCAGAGCAGTTTCAGGTGCCCTAATCACAGGTGCATCCCGGCTACTTGGTACTGCGACGGGGACGACGACTGCTTAGACGGTAGCGACGAACCACGGGGTTACTGTCAGTCCGAAGGCAGAACTTGTTTCGGTGATTTGTTCACTTGTGATAACGGGAATTGCATTCCAAGGATCTATATTTGCGACGGTGATAACGACTGTTTGGATCACTCCGATGAGGACGAGCGTCACCAGTGCAACGACAGGAAATGCGACGAGGAGACAGAGTTCACTTGCACTGCGAACAAAGTCTGGAACAGGGCTCAGTGCATCCCGAAGAAATGGTTGTGCGACGGTGATCCCGACTGCGTCGACGGTGCCGATGAGAACGTGACCTTGCACCACTGTCCCACGCCGGCACCTTGCGCCAAGAATCAATTCACTTGCAATAACGGCCGATGCTTAAACGAGAATTGGCTATGCGATCATGATAACGATTGTGGGGACGGTAGCGACGAAGGGAAATTCTGTAACTCGAGGTACATGCCTTGCACCTTCGACGAATTCACTTGTCATAACTTCAAGTGTATAAGAAAGCAGTTCCGGTGCGATGGTCAGGACGACTGCGGGGATCATTCGGATGAAGATGGATGCGGTAAGTATTCTAGATTATTACATAAAAAGAAAACGTTTGCTTGTATATTACCAAAAATCTGAAAATTAATTCATTTAATTCACAGCACCGAAGGTGAAGAACACGACATGCCCGAACCCAGGCGAGTTCATGTGCGCGAATGGCAACTGTATCGACCAACGATTGGTTTGCAACAAAGAACCCGACTGTGCAGACGAGAGCGACGAGCCTGCTCACTGCAACGTCGACGAATGTATCACAGTCGAGACGAATCAATGCGCCCACAAATGCGTCGACACTCCAACGAGTTATTATTGCGAGTGCAATCCAGGATACAGACTCCTCGACGACGGTAAAGCCTGCGAGGACATAGACGAGTGCACCGAGACGCCTCAAGTGTGCAGCCAACATTGTCAGAACACACCGGGAAGCTTCTACTGCAAGTGTAACAACTACTGGTACGAGCGAGCCGCCGACGAGCACACTTGCAAGAGGAGAGACAACATCAAACCGTGGATCATCTTCACGAACAAATACTACGTACGGAACATGTCGATTGACGCGTCGAATTATAGTCTGATGCATCAGGACTTGATCAACGTCGTCGCGCTGGACGCAGATTACTCGGAGCAGATGCTGTACTTCTGCGACGTGACCGCTAAGACGATATTCCGGGCGCCGATCGCGGGAGGGGAGAGAGAAGCGATTATCAGACACGACAGCCTCGGTTTGGAGGGAATAGCGATCGACTGGGTCGGTAGGAAACTATACTGGCTCGACCGGCACTCGAAACACTTAGACGTGGCCGAGCTGAACGGCACCAATCGAAAAACTCTCTTGACTTCTATATCTGATCCACGCGCCATCGTCGTTCACCCGGGCACAGGGTACCTCTACTTCACGTCGTGGCACCTTCAAGGATACATTGGAAAAATGGGAATGGACGGAAGTAACTTTACAAGGATTCTCACTTGGGACGACGGTATAGCTTGGCCGAATGCGTTGACCATCGACTACTTCACTGATCGAATCTTCTGGGCCGATGCTCATTTGGATTACATCGCGTTCGCCGATTTGGAAGGACATAACAGACGTAAAGTTCTCACTGGTAACGCCGTGCCACACGTTTTCGCTATTACTGTATTCGACGATTTAATTTTCTGGACCGACTGGAACCTGAAGGCTATCAGCAGAGCAGAGAAGTTCTCCGGTGCCAATTTGCGAGTTCTTAGAAACACCACTCACAGACCGTACGACATCCACGTTTACCATCCCCTTAGACAATTGCCTTATGAAAACCCCTGCAGGGAGAATAATGGCGGATGCTCGCATCTGTGCCTCATCTCACCTCCCGCGAGCTCCTATTTATTAGAGGGTTACGGCCAACCTGGTGTCACCTCATATAAATGCCAGTGTCCGAATCAGTTTACTCTGGACAAAGACGGCAAGACCTGTAAAGCTAATTGCACGTCTGGCCAGCACCGATGCGGTCCTCCAGATGAGAAATGTATACCCTGGTACTGGAAATGCGATGGTGAAAAGGACTGTAAAGACGGTTCTGACGAACCTAGCAGTTGCCCAGCTCGCGTTTGCCGACCCAGCATCTTCCAATGCGCGAACGGAAATTGCAGGCCGAGCGTGGCCGTCTGCGATGGCGCGGACGACTGCGGGGACAAGAGCGACGAGGCCCACTGTGCATTGGAGTGCGGCGAACTGGAATTCAAGTGCAAAAGCACTGGTCGTTGCATCCACGAGTCTTGGAAATGCGACGGGGACACCGACTGCAAAGACGGTAGCGACGAGGACCCTGCGATTTGCCATAATCGACAGTGCGACCCGAGCACCGAGTTCACATGCAAAAATGGTAGATGTATCCAGAAGGTATGGATGTGCGATGCGGACAACGATTGCGGCGATGATAGCGACGAACCGGCGTACATGTGCCGACAGAGGAATTGCACGATCGGCTGGCAGCGTTGCCCCGGCCATGCTAATTACCGTTGCATACCTAAATGGCTGTTCTGCGATGGTAAAGACGATTGCCGCGACGGATCCGACGAACTCCCGGAGAATTGCCCCAAGTGCGATCCGAAGATGGACTTCAAGTGCGCCAATAACAGATGCGTGCCTAAACAATGGCTCTGCGATTTTGCTGATGACTGCGGGGACGGCAGCGACGAGGCGGAGACTATGTGCAAGGGTCGCTACAGGGAGTGTTCGGAGTCGGAGTTCAAATGCGATAACGGCAAGTGCATAGCTTCTAGGTGGAGATGCGACAACGAGGACGATTGCGGGGATAATAGCGACGAACATGGTTGCCAGAAGTTCGTCTGCAAGGGAGATACGTTCCAGTGTGCCAGCGGACACTGCATAGCGTCGTACTTGAGATGCGATGGGACAAGAGACTGCAGAGATATGAGCGACGAGATGGGATGTCCGCCGAGGTATCCGGGTGGAAGATATTGTCCACAGTCGATGTTCCAATGCGAGAATAATCTCTGCGTGCAACTGAAGGATATATGCGATGGAACGGACGACTGTGGTGACAATTCCGATGAGAATGCTGGCATGTGTGGTAAGATTTGTCATCTTTGTTTATCGTGATTACCGATAATCTTGTTAGCGTGATTAACGATTAGCTTGTTAGTTTAATAAATAAATAAATTCGTGGTAAATCAGATGATTTGATATGTTCCAGCGAACTTCAAGTGCGACACATCGTACAGATTCCAATGCGCCAACCACAAGTGCATCGCTAAGTATCAACTGTGTGATGGTATTGACAATTGCGGTGATGGTTCTGATGAGAATAATATGACCATGTGCGCTACCAAAGTCCGGCCGTGCGATCCCCAAAGGGAATATACTTGCGCTAACAAGAAGTGTATTGACCGATCGAAACTTTGCGATCTGGCAGATGACTGCGGTGATACTTCCGATGAGCTGGGCTGTCGTGAGTATATGTATTTTTGTTCACCCTATGAATGATAGAGAAAACGTTCTTTGGAAGTGTTCTCGCCTCTTTGTGTAAAGGCTTCTGTAGGCTTGGTTAGCTTCCATATCTTTCTCCCTTTGTTCTGTTCCTTAATTTACCTCCTAGATAACAAGAATTCAGCTATCCCTTAAGAATCTTACGACATGTTCAATGATTGAATCATACATTTTTCGTCACAGATCACAATAAACCCTGTTTGGACAGCAACAAAGGCGGCTGCTCCCACTATTGCCACAACATCACCGAAGGCGGCTACATCTGCGCCTGTTACCGGGGCTACATAATATCTCAAAACAACCGGAAACTCTGCGAGGACATCGACGAATGCGCCGTCGGCCAGCACTACTGCTCTCAGATCTGCACCAACGTGAACGGCACCTATTCCTGCTCTTGCCGAGAAGGTTTCGAACTATCGGACAATCGCAGCGGCGTCTGCAAGGCCATAGACTCCGACGTGACGATTCTGTTCGCCAATGGACCCGGGATCAGAGGTTACGATCTTCGCAGCAGAGAAGAGATGGAAGTGATAGCGAACGAAAAAAGGGTACAGGCGCTGGACTTCGATCCGAAGTCTGAATACGTGTTTTGGATCGACGGTTATGACAAGTCTATCAAGAGATCGTACATGGTGAACGCGAAGGGTGGACAGGTGAAGATCGGTTACGCCCAGGATCTGAACATAAAAACTGGTTCGGGTCTCTCGAGTCTAGCGGTCGATTGGATCTCCGGCAATCTTTACTGGGCGGAGATCGATCATACTGGAAACTCGTTGTTCGGGCGAGTGATGGTCTCGAAAGCGGACGGTAGATACCGTCGAAGCTTGATAACAGTCGGATTGGAGATCCCGACTTCGATTGTAGTGGATCCGGAGCTTGGCAAAATCGTTTGGGCCGATGCTGGAAATCAGCCCAAGATCGAAACGGCTTGGATGGATGGCGACAGAAGGAAACAGCTGGTTACGGAAAGAATCGCGCATCCCATTGCTCTCACTATTGATTACTCCATGCAGCATACTCTTTATTGGGCCGATATTAAACTCAACACCATAGAATCCATCGAACAGGTAAGTTTTTTCAGGTAATTCTAATATATGAAGTCGAGTTTTACTATGGAATGTCTGCCTCGTTTAGGATGGATTGAACAGACGGATGATCCTGAAGGGAGAGAGCTTGAGGCACCCGGTTTCCTTGGACGTTTTCGAGAGCAACCTCTACTGGGTCGCGAAGAAAACTGGTGAGCTGCTCAAGCAGGATAAATTCGGCAGAGGAGTTCCGGAAGTCGTCATCCCCAACGTACAAAACCCGGGCGGAGTGAAGGTGTACCACCAGGAGAGATACAATATCTCATTGAGGAACGTCTGCCACGAAGATCAGTGCACGCACCTGTGCGTCCCGATCCCCGGTGGCAGTCGGTGTCTCTGCTCGGACAGCATCGGTCCTCTTCAGCAGAGAGAGACTCTGCAGAGGTCGAACGAACGTCATTGCGACGCGACTAACGAGAGACCGCTCCCGGCGCCGAGGATCTGCCCCTGTAGAAACGGCGGCCTGTGCGAGGAAGTCGACGACAAGCTACTGTGCGACTGTCCTTCTCCGTTCCTTGGAGAATTCTGCGAAGTTCTGCTGGGGGCCAGGGCGAACAATGCCACCGCTGCGATCGTAATACCGATTGTCATCTCTATTCTTATTCTCCTCGGTGTTGCTGCTGTTATTATGGTGCTCAAGAAACGGCCATTGTAAGTTTTCATCTTCTCGAATTCGTTTAATTGTTTAAAACAATTTCGCAAATTCTTATTATTTATAAAAATTTGTTTTAGCGGTAAGCCGGGAGGCCTTGGCAGTTTAACCGGTGCTCAAAGCGTGTCCTTCAGGCAAGGAAGCAACGTCGAGTTCGGCGTGCCAGCTCACGAAAGAATGGTACGTAATTCTTTTCTATCATACTTCCATTTGATGATAAATAGTAATATCACGACGGATCGTTTTTATCGAGCAGGAGCCACTTGACGTGGAGTACAATCTTGGCGACGTGAGCAATAAGAACAGGGACTTCAGCAATCCCATGTACGACGCGGTGAACACCGAGACCGGCGCCACGAACGGTACCAGCGCCAGCAGCATGTACGAGCTGCCGGCCGAGATGAAACCGTCCAGTGTGCAGCACAAAGAGCCGCCGCAGTTGCATCTGAAGAGGAGGGAGCTCGACCCGACTCCCATCGACTCGGGGAAGGACACCCAGCAGCTGGTCGAGGAAGACAAGTCCGAGTGTTAGATAGTTTAACTCATTCGCAGTGACGTAGTTAGAGATAAGAAGAACAGAAGGAGGAGTATGACTCGTTTGAGTAACGCAGGAACCGAGGGTAACTCTTTTTCACGATTCAGAGTTATATATTTATTTTCGTCGGGGGGGATTCTTAACGAACCACAAGACTGAGTTCAACACGAGGTATTACTGTGTCTGCTGATTTTTAAACGAGATAGGAAATCACGTAGCTTGATTCGAGGGTGAGGAAAAATTCAGGTGCGTCTGGCTACGCCACTGCTTTCACGTAGGGATGCCCTCGTATCCGTGGCACTTCTAATCTCGACCCGGTCATTTCCTTTATTTAACAACGAAACAATGTTGGAAACTATTTCAACACGGATTCAACGAATCATTCTCGTTTCTGTGTTACTATTCTGTGTCGCGAGACAGAAGTGCGACCGGTGACGAGTTAGTGTCATCTTAGGTGCGATTTGTAAGTCTTGTAAATACGATTATCGCAGAATATTAATTTCACGTTGTCCATGTACCATAACGAAGCAGAACATTCCATACTATATTCGGCGGGCAGTTCGAGGCGAACCGGGGGACAAGGGGGTGTTGAGGGACTGTTTGTAAGGGCCTCGGGAAAAGAGCGAGTCATATCACGGACCAAGTGTTTCTTTTTTCTTTTCTCAGAGAGGAACATAAAGAGAGGAGCGTAGCTTTCTCTTTATTAAGCTTGCTTGGCCACACGTGAGCGTTGTTGTTAAGCGTTTGTACATTTCTTTTTTTTTTATCTAGATTACGCGCGGGGAACGTCAGTGTACAGTTTTTCTTCCGTAGCAGCTGTGATCGTGAAATTAACAAATCGGTGAGGCATACGCGAAGCGGTATTTGATTTTACTTTTTAAACAAAAAACGTATTACGGTTGGGTGCGATTAACGATGTATGGGCTATATACTTAAACAATGCTGGCATGTTGAATTTGTTATTATAGATTCCTATTACTATTAAAAAGCTACCTGCAAAATTTTAAGTGAATTCGATAATAAAATTTTTGACGCTTCTTAGAACATATTTCAAAATTCTTCGATATTTCGAGAAAAAAAAAAAATTTTTTTTTTCCGAAATTTTTCCAAGGGGTACCCCTTCAGATTTTGCGAAATTTTCGTTTTTCGCAAATAACTCCCAAACCGTTGGATCTATGGGAAAATTGCATCAGACCTTTCTTGTAGAGGATGACGAGACCTACAATTTCCATATAAAAACTTTTTGCTAGCTTCAATAGTTTACGAGTAATTTGCAAAAAACTGTTTTTTCGTTTTTTGTCAATAACTCGCTAAATATTGATGCTAGCGAAAAGTTTTTATACAGAAATTGTAGATCTCGTCGTTCTCTACAAGAAAGGTCCTATGCAATTTTCCCGTATCTCCAACGGTTTGGGAGTTATTGGCAAAAAACGAAAATTTTTACCAAAAGTTCGCCGTTTCGACGGTGGAATGGTCGGATTTTGTCAACATCAATAAAATGCCAAATAATCATACGTAACTCGTTAAATATCGAAGTTAGAAGGCAAACAACTTTAATTTGAAGTATTTTTCGATATTTTGAGAAAAAAAACAAATTTCTAAAGTACATAAACTTTTAGGACTGACTGTATAGCCAATACATCCTTAAGCAAGAGCGAGAGAGGAATCTCCTTTTTCTTAATATTATATCGAAGATCGTAGTAGTATTTGTAATTTCGAGGTATACACCTGCAGATTATGTAGTTGAACGTTGCGAACAAATTATAAAGGATTGTTAACTCTACGTTGCTGTATTTTTTTAATCTAACATTCGACAGATTATAATTCGTGCGGAGAGTCACGAGTTGTGATTACAAAATGAAACGATGTCAGGAATTTATGCATGGCAATTAGTTGTCGAGTTTCTACTGTACGATTTTTATATATTCCAATGAGACGAGCGTTGTACATAGGTTTTACAGACGAACGAGGAAACTGAGCGACACTGACTCACCTTCTTTACAGATTATACATAAAGTTATATAAATATAGAAGTCTATATAAATATAAATATTATATGAAAATGAATATATGTATGTATAGGTATGTATGTGCGTATGGGTAAATTTGCAATGCGCATTATCATTCATCCACTAGAAAACGACTTTTTTTATCTCCTGGGCGGGGCTCCAGAGTGTCCTAATTATTATTATTATTATTTTAACTGTATCAGTATTTTCTGTATTTCTTCTTTTTTTTTTCTCTCTCTCCATCGACCCAACGAGATCTACGGCGATTGTTAATATATTGTTCGAATAATTAAACAAGTACCGTCCAAGAATAAACACTTAATTCCACCACGGTGCATTCCTTCCACTCACAAATAGGACTGGGACGAAGAGGAACGAAAAACATTTTCCTTAATTAAAATTTATTAACTGAACGTAGAAAAGCTATAATAGAATTTTAACGGGGTAATAACAATTCGTCAACAATTATACTGGTTAAATATCTTATCTTAGTCTGTAAGCTTATTTTTCGAATTGAAAAATATTAGTATATCAATTTGATACGCAATGGCAGCATATAAGAATTTATAAAATTCTGAGATGCATTGTTAAAGTCTGAGTATTTTTCATCACGCTGTCTCTCAGTCTCTTCACTACCTAGAGTACGAGAAAGTCACCCACACCTTCCCTGTGGTTAGGGACGAAGAAATCCCCTGCTTCTTGTAAGAGGCGACCAATAGGGGGGATTGCAGGATGTTAAAAACCCGCGTTGCTACTTTCAACAATAAAATTGTACATAATTTTACTCGACCTTGGCCGCGGTTTCTTCGTCATACTGAACCGAAGGTACCATCGGTGGTTTGAAACCATATTCCATCTTCGACTGCCTGAAGCTTCCAGTATTCACAGCTTCCTGCCTCGTCCTTCTCAAACTCGACTGCACATCCGGATACAAAGACTTCTGCATTCCAATCGAACCCTGTACCTTCCTCGGCACTGGACCCATGTATTCATCCTTAAGAACCTTATCCTTGTCAGCAGTCCTACCATAAGCAACCAAGTTCCCATTGTTCACAGCATAAGTCAATGTATTTGGATACTGGACACTGTACGTGCCAAATTTCTTTGGTAACACGTGTATCAGTTGTGGTTGCCTGCCATAAGGACGACTGATAGCAACATAACTACCATAAAATTGTCCTGTCGAGTTATGGTAATTCTGCTCATTGTCATAAGTAGGTCCCAAAGGTGGCTGGTAATTCTGTCGAATCACTTGGTAATTCCCATCGTTGTAAATCATTGGCCCAGACTTGGCGAGCTTCGTACTTTCCATCGGGTACCGAGGCTTCTCAATCTCCAGCGGATACGGCCTAGAAATGTGAACGGTCTTCTCCACGACCTTCTCCACCGGTATCGGAATCGGCACAGGCTTCTCTATCACCTTCTCCACAGGAAGCGGAACCGGTTGGGGCACTCGAAAATGGATCGGCACTGGTATAATTATCCTCTGAATGGCCATCGGTATCTTCTTCTCGATCACCTTTTCCACGTGGACAGGATAAGGGATTCTAATCTGTTTCTCCACGATCCTGTCAACCGGTACGTGCACCGGGAACGGTTGAGGGATAGTAATCTGTTTTTCTATCACTTTCTCCACAGGAAACGGCACCTTCTTCTCAACCACGTCGATCAGGTGCGACACATGGGCCTTCTCGGCAGGATATTGTGAACCCCTTACGTCCGTTGGCTGAACCTGAAGCGGTTCTTGTGGTCCTTGTGAAGTTTCCAGGTTCACCAAGCCTGGCAGACCTTCGACCCCTCTTGGCAGCTGAGACTTTGACGAAATGAAGTCACTCTGTTGGTCAGGGTTCACTCGGGAATATTTTACAACCGTCTGGTCGTACTGGGTGGCATCTGGTTGCTCCTTAGCACCAAAGACTTGTGTCTCAGACTGAGGCACCGTTTGGTCAACCTGACCACTGCCAGCAGAATAGATCACGTCGTTATCATTCACGTGGTATTCGTATCTATTCTGATCCTGATTAAAGGGAATGGCTTCGTCAAGAATCTCGTTGCTTTTATAAATATTCACTTGACTCGGTCTCTCTTTGAATTGACCTCTTAATGGTTTCTTGTACTCTTCTTGATTGACACGTTGTTTTACAAGTGGCTGGGAATGGGGAACGAACTCCATGGGATAGTGAATCTCATGCACAGGGGCTGCGTGATATATTTCCACTGACTTCTGAATCTCCACTGACTGGCTAGGCAGATTTGACGCCACTACTTCTGATATCTGTTCTTGCTCTATCGCTTGATCGTCTCCTGAGGTCGAATTCCCAGAATCTGGAGAATCGTTTTGGATCTGGCTTTCGTTGTTAATGTCAGATACTTGAGGTACTTCAGTTTCAGTCTGAATGTATTCTTTTATCAAGGGAACTTGGTCGTTTACTAAATTCAGATCCTGGCCTGCGTTCATTAAAGCAACACCGACTTGGAGTGGATTCAGAACGATAGATGATGCGATAGGGTATGAATTTTCTATCGTTTTTGATTTTGGTGTTTCAACCGGAGGCTCGGTTGGTCTTGAAACTTCGTTCTCGGTGTAATACGGAGTGGTAGTGTATTTCTTCTGCCGTGGGAGATCTGGGACTACTATAGGTCCTGAGAATTTCCCTAATGAAACCGATACTATTGGCCCTGCAGTAGATGAAGGGACATCCTTAGTTATAAACTGAGTGTCCGTGTGATTCTCTTCAGATTCCTCTAGTTTCAATCCTTTCTGGGATTCTGTAATCTTTGGTAAAACAAAAGGAAGTCGTTCTTTTGCATCAGATATGTTCAATTTCTTCGTTAGATAAAAACGAATGTTTTTCCTAAATTTTCTTTGATCTTCAGTGGACGTGGAGTCTAAAGACTGTTTTGGTCTGAATCGTCCAATGTGTTCGTTAATTCTTTGTCTGTTTGGCGAACGAACTCGTTGACCAAAATCTCCTATGCTTTCGATACCCAAGTTGTCTTCAGGAATCGTTTGATTCAAATCGTTCGAGCCATTTTCCTGCGGATAGTACTTGGTCGTCGCGGTTAAATTTTGTATTGGTATCTCTTGGGAAGGTATGTACTCCACGATGACAGTCTCGTTAGCTGCGCTTCGACTGGCCCTCGTGGATCTTGTAAAGTTACTTGGTACTTCGTCGACAAATGTCGGGTATGGGTCGGTTTCGTTTTTCCTGATCTGCTTAGGGAATTTAAATTGTTGCTGGTCGTTCTGTGAAATAAACGGGCAAAGGTTTATAAAATAAAATAAATAAATAAAATTATAAAATTGTTAAACTCTGGACTGAGGATTTTTAATATGAAATTATTCTAAAAAATTATTATAATGAAATATTAAATTAAGTTTTTATTTATTAAATATTGTATAATAACTTTTCTACGTTTTTGCATACAGAATGCACTGTTCAAAAATCAGTATACTTATGTCTCTTATAAATAGTTATAAAAAGTTTTAATCAAATTTCATACAAAATGAATAAAAATCAGTCTGTTTATAATATAATAATAAATATGTGTGACAGTTTAACTAGATTTCATAACTACCATTCACCTTCTACGTTTAAGTGAAAGCGTGAATAATAGTCCAAGTGCTTCTCATTTCTGATATAATAAATCAGGCACAAAACATTTTCCACACCCTCGTTACAAAAATTGCTTAACTGCGTCGGTGATTTTTCACTCTCGAATTTATTGCTTACTAGAATGACTCAGAATATTTTCATTTACTGTTAAGTTAGACTCCAAGCATCGAAAGTGAATCGTTTGCAATCAGGAAGGGAAAGCGAGGAAATCGCCATTACTCAGACTCATTCAAAAATCCTTCACAACGTGGAAGCGATAAGTCTTCTTCAATTTAAATACCTGTTGTAAATTATAATACCCACCGTTGTATGATTCCCATCCTTTACAATTTCTTCTTGCTCTTCAGTAACTGGTATCGTGTCTACCTTTGAG